ATATATATATTTTTTTTTTTATCCAAATGTGACATTTGTGCTGTTGAGAAAGTGCTTGTGCAGTTTACTTTGGTTCACACTAAAGGACAGGTCACCAGTCAAGTGTCAGGCCTGCATTAGCACATGCTAATGCTAGCTGTTTGATATGTTGTCAATAAACATTTCAGTGTCGTCCAAGTTAAATTATTTGTCAATTAAGATCTTTCCAGACTTTCTAATGTTGTATTATATCTTTTAAAATTATTTTTTAAAATTCAGAATCTATTTTTTTTACTTGCATAGTAATCCTGGTTTAACTTATTTTGAATACTTTGCTGGGTTTGAAAACCTTGCCCAACGTGTTGAACAGTGTTAGCATGAAGCTCACATTTTTGAGAGCGTCAACCTGAACATGCTGGTTTTCACACAGTGGTAAATCATCTTCACGTGATTTGGAGCACAGGGTCCAGTGCTCGGGCCATTTCACTTTGCTATGAATTATATTCTCCTGGCCTCAGATAATGGCCTTGTGTCTGTTCTGATTTTGCTAGATCTCAGTGCTGCTTTCCACACAGTGGACCACAATATTCTCTCATATCAGCCTGAACATGTAGGTATCGAAGGAAAAGAACAATGCTGGTTTAAACTGTCCCATTTGTTCATGTGAACAATGAATCTTCACACACCAGGATTACTTGTGGAGTGCCACAAGGCTCTGTGCTTTGTCCAGTTCTTTTTAGTACGTATATACATGTACCTCCAATCTGCAAAATCATCAGACAGCACAGAATAAGTGTTCACTGATATGCTGATGATACTCAACTATATCCATAAACGAATCCGATCAGTTAGGCAGACCACAGGGATGTCTTGAAGATCATCATCATTTGGACGACAGTAAAATTTCAGCCTTTAAATTATGACAGTGATGGCATTAAATTGGCCTCTGGGAATAGCATAAAGAACTTCGCCATTTCTTTTAACCAGGACATGTCATTTAAATCCCAAACTAAACAGGTTTCTGGGATTTACTTCTCCCACCTAAAGAATACAGCCAACCTTAGAAACATGCTGTACAGGAGTGGTGCTGAAAAACTAATCCATGCATTTGTTACTTTGAGCAGAGGAAGCTGCTAAAGGAGCCACTGCTGCCATTAACCTCTCAAACAAAGGAAGCACTTGTACATCAGGTTTTCTGTCTTCTCAGTCCCCAGGTTTTTTCCTCTTACAGGAGAACTTTTGCTCTCCGCTGCCGCTACGTGCATATTCAGTATGAGGAATTGCTGCAATTCAACCACATGGTGCAAGTCATTATCTGCCGCCGCTGCATGCTTGCCCTGGAGGGTG